ATGAACTTTTGTGTGCATTTAATACCTCTTTAGCAAAAGAGGTTATGTTCAGTGTCTTTTGTAATTTATGTTCAACACAGCCCCCATTCCAATAAAAAACTGTTGTTGGAAATCAAGTCAGCACAAACAGGAAGGGATAGGCTGAATACATTTTTCTCTGAGTTCTTAGTTGATTATACGGTTAATAATAAGACTGAAAAGGCAATATACAGCTGTAGAGAAAATTTATGGGTTCTTGCAGAAGAGCTTTGTGAAGCATTTAACTGTCCAATACCAAAGGATCACACCCCTTTTACAGATGTCAAGGAATTGCATGAGGATGGAATAGAAAAACTACTGACCAGTTATCTCAAAGGAACCACACGTCTTTATGAAGTTTAGAAAATGTGTATCGTTCAATATTTTTAGCACCATATCCTTTGGTATTCATTGGTTTAGTTCCAAGCACCTCTCGGTTTAATAAATCATTAAGAAAAGAAAGAAAAGGAAAAAGGAAAAAAAAGGGAAGAAAAAAAATCTAACAGAAACTACCTCAGTTAATTCTATGATAATTGACACAATTAGTGATGAAAAAGAAATCATATCAAATCCAGGTGATGATGATCCAGCCTCTTCATCAAATTTCTCTTTGCAAACTAGTATTAGTATGATAATTGACACTGAAACAAGAAATCCACCAGATCCAAGCTATAAATCAAATAATGATGTGCTGATTGATATTACATCAACTTCCAGCCCACTTCCCTTGCTAAGATTAGAAAAACAAAAACACAAAACAACTGATGAAGAAAAAAACATTCTCCAACAGCTTGAATCTTTCAATACATTTCCTTCTGATGAAATAATCAGTGGAGTTCTAAATTCATTAATTGCTATCAATCCAGGTTATTGGAACTCAAAAAAAATAAAAGACTACTGGAGATATAATTTTAAGAGTAAGGCAATGGATTCTAATTAATATCTATTATTTTTTTTTTTTATCATAAATTTTATTCATATTATGTATACATAATCATTATTATTTGCTTCATTAAAATTTAATTTTTTGTTGATTATACAATATGCTTGCTGTGCCATTATTAAGGTTTCTGGTCGAAACTGCATCTATTAGTAGCCGAAATTGCCCAAATACTTTGGGCAAAAATTATTTTTTTATAAGCCCAAACTACTTTTTGTTATTAGCCAAAATTGGGCAAAATTATTTTAAAGTTGTTTAAGTTAAAACAAGTTGATTCATATAGTTTTTTAATGTTGATGCTTATAGAAAATGTTAAGAAGCCCAAATTGCCCAAACTAGTTTGGACTTTGAGAAAACAGTTTGGACCAGAAACCTTAGCCATTATGTAACTTGTATTTATTACACATGACTAGAGAGATCTCAGCTTATTTGAACATAATGAAAAATTGTATGAGATAAATGAAGCTGATAATATTAATTTGACATGTCATGTAGAAATTTTGTGCAATATGTCAATTTTTACTATTAAAATCAAGGAAACTTTTTCATTTGTCACTAGTAAATACACCCACATGAATTTTTAACCAGAAATGTGATCATCAGGAAATTAAAAGTGTTATTCATAGCATTAAATAGCACATTACCACTATTCATTACTTATTTAGATGCAATAGATAGCATAATTGTAGCAAATATTATTATTTAAAACTCAGCTATATAATAACTAATTAATAACATTAGATAGTTAAAATATTTTTTAATAAATAATGAAAATGCTAAATAGAATAAATATTGCAATTTGTTATTTATTATAAAAATAATTTTTATCATTATATAATAAATAAGCATTATTTGATAATAATAAAATTTTATGTAGAATTACTTTCTGTAAAATAAAATCAATTTGACATTTTATGTTAAATAGCAATAATACACATATAATGAATTAAAAAATAAATCTATTCACAAAAAATGCATTCTGGTGGTTATGATGTGGAATAATATGAACATTGAAACAATTGTATTTATGTCAATAATGTTATAATTCTTAATTAATTTAAGATAGGGCATTCATATTTATAAAATCTTTTTAGATCATTTGTATATTTAAAATCATACTGTTGCCAGGATCAGATGATGATGATGATAATTTGGCCAAATCCTTTAATTTCAGGTCAAATTAAATTTTATTTCTATTTTTATTTTTATTATTATTTTATTTGATCTATTTTTTTATTTTTATTTTATTTTATTTTATTTTATTATTTCTATTTTTATTTTCTATTTATTTATCAATAACACATACAGCCAGCACTCAATATAATGAACCTACTATATAGTAAATCATACAATATAGTGAAGTTGGAAAATTTTCCATTTCATTACATATAAATCCTGCTCAATATAGTGAATTTTAATATAAACTCTCGATATAATCATATAGTGAGGTTTTACTTGGTACCATTATATAGTTGGCTCGGTCTAAAGACCTCCTAAGTTTTGCATAAATTTTAAAAGTATAGAAGTCACTTTCTGTCCT